TTTCAAAAAAAAAAAACTAAACCTTTTAGTTGTATTATTCAATCGAAGTTTCATTTTTAAAAATGGTAGATTTATGTGGGCTCTTTTTTTCATTCGAAAATATTAATTAGATTAACTAATGTTTAAGTTACAATAAAAATATTAGCTAAATTCGGCTTAAATTATATACGAAAACAATTTTTAATATAGTATTTACAAATAAAAACTAACATTACGAATATTTATGAACAAAAATGTCACTTTATCTGGTAAATTATTGCATGTTTATACCTTTCTTTTTTATTGTTCATTGTGATTTATTAAAGTTTTTACAGCTTAAAAACTCGAATAATACTTTTAAAAGATGTGTTTGACTGGTAACAAAAAAAAAAAAAAAACAAATACAAACACCTCACTGGTAGTCCGAGTTTTAAATACAGTTATATACCAGGAATAGGGAGTGGGCAATACTAAAATTGTTATTTAGTGATATAGCCGTTATAAACCTTTTATAATAGTTTATAGTATACTTTTACAAAATTCTCGTAATCGACGCTTGATCGAATTTTACCTTTAATACTTCAATGCGCATTGAACAAATTGACTTTTTACCTGACAGTTTACCTAAAATATTTAGTAATATACATAATAAAAAAAACCCTGTACATGTATATAGTTTTCTTAAAATAAAACAAGACCATAAAGTTGTTTACCTAAAAAGGCAAAAGTATTAATAAAATTTTATTTCCATTCAGACTTAAGTTATAAAAAACGCACGCCATCGTAAAAATTATTAATTATTGTGAAGCCGACATGTCAAAGAGACAGTATAAGTTGTCATGCGGCCAAGAAAATTATTTATCCATGTTATTCGCTTTTGAAATAATAAAAAAAAAACATTGTTATCTGCCACAAGAAACAATGATAGTTTCAGAAACGTGTTGTGAAATTAAACTATAAAATTATTATAGACCACACATCTAGACGCTTGTATTATTATTTAGATAAAGTTTTAAAACCTTAAACAAAAAAGAAAGAAGCAATTTAATGATGTTATCAAAAATGGAAATGTGATTGCTCACGGCAGCAAACATTTAAACAAAAATTGCAAAATAGTTCAGATAGTGACTCTAATATATAATAAAGTTCAATTGTGTCTCTATGGTTTTTATGGCATTTTGGTTGCCAGAAGATTATTTGAATAAATTTAGTACCCTCTTCTACAAGAAATTGTCGCCTAATACGAGTTCGTTTTGTACATGAAACTAAATACGCTATGTAAAAAATCAAAAAAAAAAAAAAAAAAAAAAGTATAGAAAAACTGAAATATTGAAAATCTTTGGTGGTATTGAACATATAAAGCATACCTTGGCATTTACAATGGTTTATGCAAAAGTATGCAATGCTGCAACCAACGCGGCATCTACTATAAGGTAATGTATATGTAAACAAACTTAAAAAGACTTTAATAATTTAATTGTAAATTATAAAGAAAATCAATATGCCCTATAACTTGATTTATTAACATTAAATGTAAAAAATAAAATTTTTAAATTTTTACTACATTTAGCATACCAAATCTTCATATAAAAAAGGAAGCAAGAACACAATATGATAAAATAATTGTGGTGGAAACAAATAAAAAATATTCTAAATATAGGTTTCAAGAATACTAATGGTGGCAATACATCAAGAATATTTTTCAGATCTCAGATCTTTAAACCTCATCCTGCATTAAAGGAGTTGACATTAGACTTATTGAAAATTGTTTTATCATTTTGGAAACCTATTCAAGTGAATATAAAATAGAGGTCATATATTTGAAAAGTCTCTAGAACTGACAGCAGAACTTTATGCTGAAAATTATCAATCTTGCCTAATGACTTCAACAATACGCAAGATATTGACACATGGGGGCACAATAAACAGTTTTTAGAAATCCCTATTCATGATCTACATAGAAATTTGGCACCCAAAGTTTTTTCTTAAAAAACAGAGGTTCTAAAAAGCAAATGTGCTCTATTACCCGGATTACTTGGTAATATGAGCACTTCATTTCAAGTCAGCAAAAAAAAAAAAAAAACAATAACTAAGTAAAAAAGTACCAACCTGATAATTAGAACATATTTTTGGAATAAAATGATTCGTTTTTAACAAAACTTATAATTAAAAATGATAAGCTTTGTTAAAAACGAAAATTTTAGTATTGTTAAAATATTAAAAATTTTTACTATGTTTTGTTTTTGATCAAAAAGCAATTAACTGCTCATTTAGGATTTTAAAGTAGGTAATTTTAATGAATAACACAGGGTATTTTGAGCATGCTCATTACACACAAAAATGAAACTTTTAAATAAAGTCATAACTAAAAATTTTTATGCATTGTTTTTCAAGCAAAAACCGAATGGATTTTTGGGTAACATACTAATTCCCGTTATCACCACATAAAACTGATTCAAAAAATACAAAGCAACTTTAATTTTACTGCTTGCATCTATTAGATTTTTTAAAGTTATTAAATTTTTAAGGTGCTCATATTATACCCCTATATACCCTGTTTTGTTATTTCATTTTGTTTAACAATTATAGTAAGGTTTATTTCACACTTATACTAAGTATACTTGAATATTTCCTTTTGTTTATATTGCTTGTATTAGCATCACTTTTTTTTACATACTTTTCTTTTAGAGCACTTAGTGCTTTAAATAAAGTTTTTTACTTTACATTGTTTTTAGTATTTTTTTAACCATCTTTTTGTGTATTTTGTTTACAAAAGTGTGTTTTCAGTAAAAAAAAAAAAAAAAAAAAAAAAAAACACCTGCCTATTTATTTTAAATATTATATTATGATTTCAAAATCTTTTTTATTGTTTATCTGATTGATAAAAGCCTAATAGTACTTTTGATTAACTTTTGACCTTAAATACTCTATGTGTGCATCGTTCCGACGTCAGCCCAACGTATGCGTGCTAGCTGGGATTTGACTGTAAATTAAATTATAAAAATATATTAAATATCAGTTTTATTGATCATAAAGCTTAAAAACCAGATTAAAAATAACATTTTTTTTCAATAAAGGTTTTTTAAATACTTGAAATTTAACAGTTTCTTTTGTTTTCAAAAATCAAGGTTGGGCTGCTGACGTTGTTTCGATGTCAAATGTAAGAACAAAAAAAAGCTCTTGTTGACAACGTCGTTATAATCTTAATAAGTTTAACGTTGGTTTAATGTTAAACAAATAACATTATTCCAACGTTGTTATATGGTTAACTTTTGAGACTTTAATTGATAAAGTTTTTTCGATGTTGTTTCAATTTTAGATTAACAAATGTTAGAAAAGCATCGTTCTGCCAATGTTGGAACATTATTGAAATGTAGTTATCTTGCGTTGCAATCGAAATCTAATTAAATTACAAAAATGGTTTGACATCTTTTTCCTACTGGGTCATCTCAATTTTAAAACAAATCATCATTTAGTTAGTTGTTTGCATTTTATAACGCTTTTTATATTTAACTTTTATTTTGAGATTATCCACGACGTATTTTTTTCAAAGTTGCTACTAATGTAATATTTGTTAATGTTCCAATACATCCTTTATTTGATGGTCAACTACAATTATCTCCACGCGACGTCATAAATGTCATAACTGGAAACAGTCAAAAATAAAGCAACTTTGACAATATGGAAAAAATATATAAATATCAGTGGCGAGGTTTTTCAACCAAAAGAATTACAAATAAAAAAGACTGCAAAGATTATTGTGTTTTAAAAAAAATTCCTGAAAATGTGACGAAAAATCTACTTAACGGATTTTGGGAAATGTCTGAAATGAATGATTGAAAAGCACACTTTATTAAAAGTACTGAACGATAAGACAAAAAAATAATTTTAGAAGCTGCAAAAACCAGATGTGATCTGCTCCCAATTTTGCATAATTGAAAAAACATATGAGGAGTAAATCCAAAAGTATAACAAATATATTGCTTCAAAGAAGATAAAAAGATTAAGAGAGATACAGATCAAAATTTGAACTTTTTCTACCACAACGTTTGTTTTGACCTACAAAATATATTGAGCCTACCAAAATGTAATGCGTCAAACTTCCTCTATAAAGAAAATTTAAACCCCATTAACTTAATATTTATATCTAGTAATCAAGATTAGACCTTTTTTGTTTCATAATTTTATAGGTTCTTAACGAATTTTTGGCTGCGATGTAACGCATGCGTTTAATAAAAAGCTGCTCAACACAATTAGCAAGAATGTAGCAAGCAAAATTTATTTGCAATATATGTAAATGCTTATATTGTTCATTTTTAATATAGAGGTTAAAACAAGTAAAACAAAAATAATTTGAAGACAGCTTTTTTAAATTCTAATATAAATATTATAAATCAAAATAAAATTTTTAGCATAATTAAGGGTTAACTTACAAACAGGGAGACGGTTGAAAACTTATTGGTATTGTCAACCTCGAACAAATCAGAACTCTAGCTAGTGTAAAGCTAAAAAACTTTAGTCACCTGATTCCGTGAAGTTAAATAGAAGGTTGTAAAAGTTCGTTAAAACATTTTTTATGAAAACTTATAAGCGCAACGGTTGTCGATGGCGTTATTTGACGCGTTCAAAAATGATTCCTTTTACAAAACATTTTATGAATTTGTTTTATCAAATCAAGTATTATTATTAACAAAGAGTTACTATTGCATAATTTTTAAAATAGTTTCTGTATATAATATTTTAAATTAGAATGTTTTTTGTGCCTTATACAATGTTTTATTGTTTGTGTGTAATTTTCAATTATTAAAAAAAAGGTTTTATAGAGATTGTTTAAAAAAACCTATTCCAAATTTATTTATATAAAAAGTACGTTTAGCAAAGAAATATTTTTATCAAAGCTAGCGTCTTTTTATACAAAATTAAAAAATTTTAAAGTTACTTTATTAAATTTAAATTATTTAGTTTACTATACTTTTGTTTACACAAATTTATGTTGCGCTCAAATTCAACTTTTTATGTAGAGCTAGTGGTCCCGTTTTGTTCGGCAACGCCTACTCTTGGTCGCTGTCAAATCTGAAATCGAAAAGCCTGCCTTTTCCGTTTAATCAATATTTTGCATTTCTACTCTTGGCTTCAGTTTGTTTAATAAACGCTTTGTTTACTCAGTTCTTGATTTCGCCGTCTTTGAATAACAAGAAGGTTTTTCCATTAAATAAAGAACTTGTGGTTCGTGGAAGTTATTACTTGTGTGAGAAAGCTCTTTTGCCAATAGAATAAAGCGACGTTTTATGAGTTCAATTTTGTAAGCTTATAGTGAAAAATATATTTTACAAATTTTTTATATTCTCAAAGTTGTTTTTATAAAGACGTTGCCATTGCGCATTTTCCGCAAAAGTTTAAAATTTAAACGAGTCAGTTTTAACGAGTTACATTACTATTTTTAGCTCTTTAAATTGTTTGGTAGAACATAATAAAATGCATATAATATTTTCAAATACGCAATGCAACTAAGACCTGGTACACGTTTTTCCAAACAAAAATATAAGTTTTTTCAATTACAACATATGTAAGTTTTTTTTTTATCAAAAAGTATAACATATATGGTATCTATGTAAAGATTATTTTAATTGCTATTATAATCTGGTAAAAGAAATGCGACTATAACAAACTGTCAAGTGTAGTTTTATTTAGAAAAGCTGTATTTTTCAACATAAAGTACCTTGGGGTTTGCTATAGATAAGTATGTGGTTTATAAAAGCACGTATTGGTGTTTGTTTTCAATGAATGTAACTTGACATTTATAATCAGACATTATTTGGAAAAGTTATCCACAAAAAACCACTGTTTTATGAAAATTGAAATTATTATTTTCAATACCACATCTAAATGAGTAAGTTTAACAATAATGTCACGCTACATTCATATAGACTATGGTAGTATTAATTTTTCTACGAAAGTTGTATTTGCATAAATAATCATAACCTTCAGATCAATTCAAAAAACAGTTTTTGGTATTTTGTATCATATTATGAAATACTCGGGACTTATTCGGCCATCTTGAAAAAAAACATTATTCCATTCCGAATGCATAAACAATTAAAAAACAGTGACGGTAAACTTATAAACATATTACTTTCATTTTCAAACTCGTTTCACATTTTATATCAGTATTAAACTTTAATTGACATTTGGTTTCTTTTATTTTTATAATCATAATTTAAAAGCAACATAAGTTATTTTTAAGTTATTGTTATAAAAACAGTTATATCTTTGAGCACTAAATCGGTACAAGTAGCTATTATGGCTTCGATAATGTATTAAGATAAATACTGCTTGCCTCTGCGCAAAATGAAATATATATTACATAATTCATTAAAACTACTTTTAGAGCATATTTTTTGAAAATTTACTAACACAAATATGTTGAATTGTACTTTGGTTTAAAAATTATGTCAAGCAAACACTTTAAGATATCTTTACAATTATATTGATCTTTCTCCTGCAAAACTGTTATGACGTTTTGATTGTTTATAAATTTTTGCCATTATTTACGAATTGATTGTTTGCATAAATTAATTACCAGTTTTTCGGTTTGCCACTAACAACCAATTGGATTTGTTTAAAATTATCTGCTTTTTTTTTCTTTACGAGTTTGCTTCTTCTATGCCTAAGTTGCATTGATTATAATTATGATTATTATAGAACACAAACTTATAAAAACACTTTCTTTAAAACCTAAACGACAATTTTTTTTTAAATATTTAACTCACGTCGTTGATTGGTTTGTAAAATTTAGGCCTTTTTGTTATTTATTTAAACAGTTTGTTTTATTTCATTTTTTAATTTTTATATTATTCTTAACGAAATTAGATGACAATAAGTTAGCAATATAAACTATATTATAATTTAAACTGAGAAATTTATGAGCAGCCTTTTTATTGAAATAACTTCTGTAAGGCTTCTCTTATTACTAATAGTTTTTTTTATTAAGGAAGTTTTATATTATATACCTTTACACCTAAGTTATAAGTACAAGCAAGGTATCTTTTATTTCGTCAAGCATTCATTCCACTAAAAATTGACCGTCCAGTTAAAATATTCTGATTAAAAATTTCTGTATAATTTTGTGTCTATACTAGTATTTTAATAAAAAGTCGTTAAAACTCAAAATCTCGTGTTAAGTATGAAAGTACTCAAAATAAAAAATACTCTACTCCATTTAAACGTAATAGGGGAGGGAGAAGAACGGTAAAACTTACATGATCACTAGTTCTAATTATGTAAAAACCTTGATGTGGAGTAAAATTAGTTGATAATTTGAAGTAAAAAAATACTACAAAACTTTATTCCCGTCGCATAGGTCAACGGGGCCCACTTGAATCCTAAGCTTATACTAATTCTACTTCTTGTGATCCATCCTCATTTAAGACAAGTATAAATAATCAAAAAAAAGTTTTAATCATATCTAAAAAATGTCCAAAAGTAGCACATTTCAGATATGAATAAACCTATCCTTAATACTAAAAAATCATTGATCCGCCCCTGATCTTTTTTTACAACAAAAGTTACAAAACAATTATTACTATTACTTGATTTTTCGTGAGTTAAAATCAACAACAACGTTTTATGAAGTTTTTCCTCAAAAATGTTTGAACTTAGTAAACACTGCCTTGTTAGTTTTTTTATATTTTCCGAGTATTAAGTTAAGGTTTTTTAATATGATTACCAATAATATGAGTTTTCTACGTAGTTTTTTAGGCCTTTGTCTTAACATAAATTATTAACATAATATAAATTATTAACATAAATTATTAACATAAATATCGTTCTGTGCAAAATCGTCTGCAAACTTCTCATACAAATAAACATTTTAACTTGTGCGTTTGAATAAATTCCACTGACACAAAACAATTTTCATTAGTGTTTGAGATACAGACTGCACTGTAAAACAAAACAATTTCTATTAAAACAATGTTTCTCCAATATTTGTAAATAGTGTTTTTAACATTTGTTTACTCCGAATATTAATAACAATACAACTTTTAAAAATAATATCATCAATAAAAATATTGTCACCTTAGTGCTAAATAAACGTTTATGTAATATATAATAATAAATCATGGATAACTGTTAAAACTTTAAACTCATGTGAATATTATATTTTCTTTCCTATAACTTGATTTCAAATGGGTTTCAAATTTGGTGTAAGCTTTGATATGTTAAAAATTGCACAATAAAATGTTCATTAACATTCTGACTTATTTACTGAAATATATGATAACGTCTTTAAAAATTGTAAAAGATCAAGCTTTTTTTTTTATTATTTTTTATTTTTTATTTTTATTTGCATTCACTTCCAACAAGGCTGCAAGTAACCACTATTAAGTTGGGAGTTACTAGGAAAAAAAAAAAACAGAGTTATAGAGCAAGGAAACAGTTGACAGAAGACTTGAAAAGTTGAAGGTTGTATGAGTCAGGAAAACATGAAGATGGGAGAGAGTTCCAAAGGATTGAAGTGCAGGAAAAAAAACTAGATAAATAAAAGTTTTTAGAGCATGCAGGGACAGATACAGTAAACGAATGAGACTTAGCTGAATGACGAGTAAAACGAGAATGAATTTTAGTTAATGGAACTAGAGATGATAACTCCTTTGAGCAGTGACCATGATAGTATTTGTAGAAAAGAGAAAAAGATGCAACTTTACGACAATGGGAAAGAGTTTCAAGCTTAGCAGATAGTCCAGGTCCAACAACATTTGCAATGCCTATTAGGACCTTGTCAAGAAGAGAAAATGCATCGTTAGAACCAGCCCAAATATGACAACAGTATTCCATACAGGGACGAATAAGAGATTTGTAGAGGTAGAGAATGGAATTAGAAGTAAGGAAATGGCGAGCACAATAAAGAGAAGCAACCTTAGCAGAAGCTAATTTAGCAATTGATTGTGTATATGGTTTCCATGAAAGGTCAGTAGTAAACGATTATCCAAGAAGACGTAAAGAGGAGGACTCAGTAAGAGAATTGCCATTCATTAATATAGGAATGTTGACCATATTACGGTAGTTGCTATGATTAAAAATTTACTATCATCAGGTAGAAGCTATGATTAAAGATTTACTATCATCAGATAAAAAGACTTTTGAATTTAAAAATACCAATTAATCAATTTTGTTTATTCGACTTCTCAGAGCAAACAGTGAACAAAGAGTTTGGAGTTACATGTAAATCCCAAAGTTCAATAACGTTTTTTGTATTATTATATGAAATTAAAAATAAGTCATTACTAAAATAATCTGGAGAAACATCTACCACAATATTTACACAATTTTTTGTATTTACGATCTTTATTTTGGCTGATCATTTTCGCTGTCTTTCTTTTATGTCTCGAGGGCAGAATTTTAGCCTTCTGCTAAGTTTTATCTTGTACTGCTATAAAAATCTATAAATCAGTTTATTAAAAATTAAGTTATAACTAATGTTAATTTATAAGTTTAAAGTTGTTAACTGCAGTACGCAAACTAAATGAGAACAATATTTTATAAAATCGATTGAAAATTAACAACACTAAAAATAATGTTCCTTTGGCTCAGAAAGATGAAATAAATACAGGGTTGTTTTGGTTTAAATCAAGTGATTTAAATCAGTTATTTTAAAATGATTTAAATCATGATTATAATTGGACAAAAAAAAATCATAATTTGAGTTTTGTAATTTTAGTAGTTTTTAATATTATAATCTCATAATACAATCAATTATTATAGACTAGTCATTAGTTTTATAATAAATTATCCATACAATATTAGAAAGTTTTACATAAGTGGACTTTAGATTCTAGTAACGTCAATTTTAGTAGACTGTGGCAAGTTTAAAGTTGTTAACTGCAGTAAGCAAACTAAATGAGAACAATATTTTATAAAATCGATTGAAAATTAACAATGTTAGTAGAAGGGGTTTCACAATCAAACTCAAAAAAAATCTAATAATAGAACTGTATTTAAAATGTAAAACATCATCTTCTAACAACCACGTAGTTATCATATATAAAGTTTTATATCTAATGACACTAGTGATATATAATTTGCAGTTATTATTAATACTTTTATGATCTGTTTTGTGTAAGATATTACAGTAATTTTTTTTTCAATACTTATTACTGTATGGCATTTTAAATGCTTGATATATGTTATAAAGAAGACATTTAAGTACCTTTTTTATTAAATAAATCAAACATTTAAAATGTCAATAAGGTAAATACAGTATTGAAGAAAATAAAAAACAGCTGTAAGAACAAAAAAAGATTGATTATTGCCTTTATTTTAATGTTGATCATTTAGCTTGAG